CATATGTGCTTGCGCTCATAAAGCATGAGGAGGGCATTGTAGCCTCATTTTAGTGATTTGGCAACAAGATGAAGATTCATACAAGGGATGCAAACTAGATTCAGCGGGACACATTGACATCACGAGAAGCGTAATATGGGTAGATATCATCTGGTGTGAAAAGGCCTGGAAGGTTTCTGAGGTATTCAAACACTGTTGCTTTGTTAGAACGGGGCCATTCAAATCTGTATGATCTACTGAACAATTCCTTTGTTTTACAGTACATGGAGAACTCAACCTAGCCATGTGACATGGCCAGAGTTGACTGGACTATACTTCTACAAGAATCATCGCGATACGTGACCTTGTTGATAGGGTTCGGAAACATTTTGAGGAGAAGCTCCCAGTGTCTGTCACTGTAATCCCCAGAGGATTTGGATGTCGATGGGAAGACGGTATCAAGCCGCATTACAACCAGCGTCTTTACTGATAGTGCATAACGAGAGAACCACGGTCCGACGAAGGAGCGTGCGCGTATGACAGTGCAGCCAGGCGTTATGTGTACATTCACATTTCCAGAGCCATCCACATCTTTACTATACCGCCGGTACTCCCATACAAAGGGCTCGGATAATGGCGACCAGCAGCCGTCCTCCAAGCGTTGACGTGTTGTTTCATCGGTGAAACATAAGTACACCATGTGCGCGGAGTGAACAATAGTGAGTATGCCGTATGAGCTTATTTCAGCTTGTATATTGCGCATGATGGGAGGGAGTTTGGTCTCAGGGGCTGATTCAATGCCCTGAGCGAAGGTCTGAATGTCCCAATCTCCAGTGGTATGGAAAAATTTCCTAAGCGTGTTTGCCGTGACTTGATCTCCTATACGAACACGAATGTTGGCAGAACAGCTCAACACGGTTGTAGGAGAAGGCGACACATCATCTTCGATCCGAACGCCATCAAGGAGGATGGATTCGAGGGATCCGAGGGGTAGAATAAAGCGGAGTAAGTCGGACATTCGAATAATGGGCTCGTTCCCAGTGATCTGAGTGGTACGCCTCGGCTTTAAGGGGTCTGAGCAGACCCCTTCAATAGTAAGCCTGCGGAGACGGGGCGCAGTCAGCTTAGAGGGAAGGTTGATGCGCCCGTATCCAGGGCTGGCAACGGCAATGGTCAATGATTCCAAAATTGGATGGCACTTTGTATCAATCCATCTCAAGAAATCCTGACATAGTCCATCCAGTGGAAGAAGAGGAGTGTACATGTGAGCCAGATTGATGCTCAGGTCGCAACAGAACGTGCAATTGATAGATGTTGCTCTTTGGAGAAGTTGTGTATGGTCCAAGACCTGTTCGACAGGGGTGCAGCGGTCAGAGAAGCGTGTGACAGCAGCAAATAAGTGATCCAGATCAAGCTGAAGTGGAAGAGCCATGTTATCAAGGTGCATGACTATGTCCTTGAACATTCCTAATCCGCGGAGAAGGAGGTAAGACTTCGCCCACATTGCGTAAGTCTCTAATGCAATCTGTCGCCATCTACGGCAAGCTGCTGTTACGACCAGGCAACCTTGTATCAACTTCCGTTTCGATCCAGACCTGAAGGACTCGACATCTGGGAACGGAGGGTCTATGTCTCCAAGCTGTATGAAAACCATGGATAACACGTCCGAGTTCAATGTGGTCTTTATCGGTGGAATCAGCCACTTGATGTTTCTCCTAGAGAAGGGACGTTACCCAAGCAGCAGCAACATGTTCAGGCTCGAGAACAGCGAGAGACATTATGACAGTAGATGATGAGATGATGATGGTTAGTGATAAGGAGCGGGCCAGGTTCGCAGGCAATAGAGAGAGTCAGCTGATGAAGATCGTCGCTAGATATGCGGATTCCATACATAGTTACGCGTTCCCACAAGCATTCTTCATCAGTTCTTTGCGGCTGAAAGTTGAAGCGTACCACTACATCAGACTGTCTAGTGAGACAGGGCAGTAAAGCAGTAGGTCAATGGCCAGCGCTACTATGACATTAGTAAAATACGACTGCATGCTAAGGTGAAATTAGCATTGGCACACTTGAGTAGTAAGCTACAAGCCAGCTCAAGCCTGTGACAGGCATATCGTAATGCTGTATTCTCAGCCAGAGGTCATACCATCTTTTGTAGGAATGCCCAGTCGACTAACAGGTTATGTTTACGTTGATCATCAAATGGTAGTACATGACGCACGTCAATCCGAAGACATGTCGACAAGACGGCACCACATTGCGTCAAGGTTTGATGTGCGCCCATTTGACCGTTGTCCTATAAGTACCTGCATCTGCGTTTCAGAATACTGCCCAGACCCACCATGAACCCAAACCGCAGCCTCAGCAACACCCGCAGTGTCGAAGCGCTCCCTGTAGCCTCGCCTACCACATCAACCGAATCCAAAGGGTCTATTGTGTCGGTTGGGTCGAGCTGGTCCCCTCATGCACCCGCTGCATCAGTCGACTCCTCAAGCCGGAGTCCCGCAGCCGAAGGGCTATTGCCTCCCATCAACACGCCTTCCCCTCGAGGACTCACGCTGCCGCCTGTCATAAAACCATTCGCTCCCCTTGGCCCACCCATCTCTCTGCACTACTTTATATTCATGCAGTTTCTTCTAAGTCATCTAGACTATCGAGGAAGACGCCAAAGCATCCTGTGGCTCATGCACCCGCTGGGCCAGTCCGTCGTTCAGCCAGGAACAATACTACTGCACCGGTTGTGTTGGGGAGTGGAGTGCTATGGAAGGGTCATGGACATGGTCATTCGAGACATGACAGAGGTCTTATTTCAAGTGAAGATTCTGGGATGGAGAACCGATGCCGGGTGGCAGGAGGCCGCGGGGGATCTACACTCTCTGGTCATAGTACCTTTGAGTCGTTGTGCACCGGAGATTCTCAATCTAGCTTGGGGATATTTCGTCTACCCCTACCCGCTTCAGTCGGTGGTGCTTCACGTCGTCAACCAAGTTCACTCATTTCTTTCCGGCAATCGCGCAATACGGCTTCCAGCTTATGACTGGCTGACTGGATGGGTGCTGCACATGTACCTAATGACGCCAGCAAGTCAGGCCATGGACACACACTTGGCAACAGGTCTCACTGTGGTTGCAAAGGATGCAGGCCTGTCAGTGACTGGAGGGATGGTGGCACCTTATCTTTCTCCAAGCGCAGGGCAAGTAGGAGACAGTGAGTTCTGATTGTGAGATGGTATTGACGCATGACTGACAAATACCAGGCCAGTATTAGTTCACAGGACCAACCGTCAATCATAATGACAATCAGCCTCTATAAGTTATCAAGTACTGGAACAAAAGAAACATCCATACTTTGCACTGATGACTTCAATCTTACCTCACTTGTCGTGAATATAATACATCTCACTTTATGGTCATTCATAACCGGTCAACTCTCTGCATCTTCCTAGTAGTTCACAATGCTCTCAAATAGTGTATTCAACTGTAGAGAACATACAAGATCACATCGGCATTTACCTTCCCGCAGTCTCTTTTGTACATGTAGAATGCAAGATCAATAATTGTCCTGTTTATAGTCTGATCCTTTATGCCAACATAGCCAAGTATGATGAGCAATGTGCCAGGAGAACTCTTTTGCCTGCCAATCCAAGCGTACACGGGCTACTTACAAGCAAAAGAGTGCTACTGAGGTCTTGGTTATGTAGAAGCTCTAGACCTTGAATGCAGGTACTTCTTAGGGTGGTAGGGTATGGACCCCTTGTCTAAGTTTCATAGCTTATGGATACAAAAGCAACGGGGTCAAGTGACAGCATGATACCAGCCACAAGACATCATAAGACCAATCCATACAGGAGGATATATTCGCACCTAAGATCGGCGCTCCAACAACACAACCGTTCCCTACAGAATTCTTAAGCACTGAGGAGTTCATTGAAGCATTGCGACGCAGGCGCTCTGAATATATATCTGCGACCTCTGCTTCATAGGACATGACACACATGGAAGAGCAACAGGTAACCTGTTCCCTGCATGTGCTCAAGCACACTCGCTCTATCTAACATGCTACATCATCAATTTCGCAGGGAAAGGATTTGTTGGACCGTTGGCTAATGACAGGGGCTACCTTGTGAAAGGGGCCAATGTAGGAAGTAGTATCAGTCGGCCAATCTAGATATACATTTGATTCCGGAATCAAATTCACGGTCATGTGCCCGTCAGGCAGTTGGCATAGAGAATGGGTTCCGTAGTCAGCAACCAGGTATGTAAGCCCGTGACATCACAGCTCTACCTATGACTGTATGATTAGATGAGTATCATGGATGGCGGGAGGTCACACAGGTGAAGGCGCTGTACAGTGATCCATCGGCGATCATGGTGGTGACCCTATTCGGGCAGGCTGGAGCTAGGGTTTCCCAGTCGGCTGAACCAGAGAGCAATCTGATTCCGAGATAGCTTAGCTGATCGCGGTCGCTCTTCTGGCAACTGCATCGGGACTCATGTTCTGAGACTGAGCACCCTATAACCTCCTGAACCACACCCATTGATGCCACTGGATTGTTAGACAGCTGGGAAAACTGAGGCAATACAAGACAATGACAGGACTTCTCAAACCATCTCACTTTAAGAAAAATATTGAAGGTAGCAGCCCATCAGTGCATCAGCCTGATGAGCTTGGCCCAGTTTTGGCATTAGTGTGATGAGGCGCAGATGTTACGAAAGGGGAGGAGGAAAACATGAATCCACTCAAACAGAAGCGCCAGACTCAGACGCATATACAATAACTCACTCCGTTCACACAGACAATAATGGGAGGTTCTATAATGAGGCCAACAGTAGCGCAGTCAAAGAGGCTTCAAAATTCACTGCCTTGCAGAATACTTACCCACTTACTTACAGGCGTGATAGCGATGTCCAAAGACGACCAAGGAATCATATTCTATAACTTCAGCAAGTTTCTATGATAAGCCTGTGTGCAAACGCATGCCAATAACCAACGACGTAACGAACTAGCAAAGGTCTTTGACCTCATTCCTCCTCTGCCTGTCGTTCCCGCACATCCTCATTACTGCTTTCGTCACCTGACCCATCACCAGATTCCGTTGATTGGGATGCCGTAGGTTCTGAATCTTCCCAGCGAGTGTACCATGGGATAGCCTCTTCTGTTTCCCAGTGTCCCAGCAAGTCCGTGAAATCCTTGCTAAAGGGACTTCTCACTGCCAAAACTGGAAGATCATGGTCACCGAATACAGTTGTCATCACTGTCACGGGATCCAAATGACGACTGTAGATTGTGATGTCGATTGCTGCTGGCGGATGAGGGAGCTGAACATCGGCATCTGATGTGTATGGTCCAAAAATGGCATCCATCCATGCATTTGCTCCCATTGGCGGCATCCCGTAGGGCACTTCGCACTCAAGGTCTTCCGGAATTTGATACAGCAAGAGTTGCACGTTGAGAGGGGCAGCATCGAATGTGACATGCGCCGCATCCCAATACGGCGAGCCTGCGGCGTACAGCCGAGGGAAGAGCACATTCACGCACTCGCATGACCCAACAGTTTCGCACCGGATATCGAGGACTAGTTGGCAGTTTTGAGGATATGTGATGAGCGAAAAGAATGTCATCATTGGGGCCTCCGTACTGTATATGAGGGGTACAGGCAGGGCATAGGGCTCGTCAGGGCGAGTGTCGCCGACGGGGACCAGTTCTGGTTGCCACAATCTTTCGCGGATTGCCAATTTGCGTAGGCGTCGGAAATGTAACCGTTTGAAATGACCGTCGGTCTGATTGTCTGGAGTTTCCAGGAGGTCGATCAGGTTTGGATAGTCTCTATCATATGTCCCGCTCTCCAGCGTAAGTTCCTCGAGGGTTGCCTGGTATTCGCGAAGACAGGTTACGAGGAGTCCTAAGTGCATAGAATTCTCATTCATGCCCAAGGTCTCTGGGTCTTCAAGCCAACGCCAGGACAGTTTGGTAAGGTTGCGAAGATCGCAAAACATGAATGATACATCGCAGATGTCGGCCGAGACCAATGATGGCAGACTGAGTCTGGCGAACTGAGTTGAATACCAAGTAAGATCGACAGGGGTGAGACCGGCAACTGCCTGGCCACGCTCATCGTACTCGGATGCGAACACGTTCAGATGGAGCAGACCACTCAGATCGCAGCGAGCAAGAAATCCCGGCGTTTCGGAGGTGTAATAATGCTCGCGAAAGTGGCTTCGGCGAGTCTCGTACCAGGTAAGAGATCGAACGCGACAAGACACCTTCTTGTGCTCCATCAAGTACTGGAGTACAATGTCTGTGTGAGGACGCTCGGCTGAGCCGTAGAGCACCACGCTCAGAGGATGGGATTTGCAGCGAAGGACCATCTCGTCCATCTGCTCAGGAAGGAGCCCGATGCAGTTTGCCCACAGGGCTGCATGATCAAGGGCCAGCTCTCTCCAGCGATGGCAGACCTGGCTCGCAATGATGGCGCTTCCTAGGTAACCACAACCGGGGGAGAGCAAGTTTGCCGGCGCCAAAGAGGGGTGAAGAGTCCATGAAGGAGGGAGATATGGATCTTCTTCAGTGGGCGCCTCGACTTGATGTTCAGTCGAACTCGAATTCCAAGGGCGCTTTGGGGGTGTTGGAGGATCATTGTCAGACGCAATCTTCATGACTTCCATGAGGATTTCGTCTGGGAAACAGACATTGATGAGGTTTGCGCTGCAGAAGTTAGGAGTGGAGATGAGTTAGAGCAACATGCTATAAGCAATGACCGTACCTAGGCTGTGTAGACTGGTTCGTGGCAGGCATGAAGGAAGTTGGTCCCAAGTGTGCAGACGCCCAGATTCTCTCAAACGGTGACACGTCATGATGTCTCGTGTCAATCCTCCCGAACAGACACGTGGAGTTTATCAAAGACTGATGACGCCTATAACTTGTCAGATCACCATAAATACCAAGCGGCCAATGCATTCGGCTTGCTCAGAGCTCGTGGGCCAGTTCGTACACCAGCGGTTCAGTCACACACTCAATCAAAAGTCGCTGCTCTCTAGAACACAAGTAGCCTAACTTGTCCCATGAAAACCATTGAGAACAGAGGTTACTCCAGTCGGTGAAAGGGAAGTATGATCTGACTTATGGGGGCGACCTCTGTATGATTCAGCAATCAGAAAGGAAGTGGACATTGGAGCAAATCAGTAGCCGCATAAGCCAAGTTTATGATACCGGGAAATCTGAATCTTTACCATATAGCTACATTTTTCAAAGTTGTAATTTTGACCAAGACGACACATGATAGCTGTACTTTGTCTTGTCAATCAGATGGGGACACAGGAATGTGATGGCAGTGAAGTATCTATTAGAGAAACATCCTTCTCCTAGAATATCGTAATCTGTCTGCTACCTCAGATGAGTACACATATTCCTCCATACTGTAGATTCATGACTGACCTGGGCCTCTATCGTACCATCAGGAAAGAGTTCCTTCTCACTATCCGGGAAAGTTGCAAGATGGCCAGGAAGAGCGAGGGATGTCACAATGTGCGCCAGTACTTGGGCCCTTTCTTCGGCTACCCTCCATAGCATGACAAAGTATTCATCTGTGATAGCAATACTATGCTGCCTTCCTCCCATAACATATCCCTCTAGATTGTTGTGGAGCAGCGCTTACCACTCCATCTGGCGAGGCTTCATCCTGGCTTCCCGCATGTATCCCACTGTTATCCTCTACTATGCACTCAGGACCTTGTTCATAAGGGATCCTCTGAGGTCAGAAGGTACATGAGTATGGGAATACACTTCCAAGATGTATCATTTGGAGCATTCCAGAGAAAGCTATCAATCTGATGGCTGAAGGTAGCATGCGCATAGCACCAAATATATACATGCATAGACCTGATGTGGAAGAGGCTCAACCTTATGTCTACAATCTCACATGAGGCTAACTACCATTGTTTTATGGTCCCCAACAGCCCATCTATATTATTGTTATTCACATTACTTGCACTGGGACACCTCCCTTCACTCCATGACGTATTCTACAAGTTAGGTAACAAGAGACATCGGCATGGCGGGTAAACACATTGTTGCCTATTTATAGAGGATCTAAGATCACCAGAACACTCAGAGGATTGCAGTGTGTACAGCCTTAGAAGTTCATGCAGCCACTGTTGCGTGCACAAGAACAACGGCCTGAGGTCAAGTGATGGAATATGTTAGCCACAGTGGGATGGGTCAGACTGGAATTTTGCCTGTACATGAGGCTGTCCAAGTCATTGTATCCAGCCTGAGTCTGCACTTAGATAATCTGGGCGTGAAACAGCTAAACTGAGTCATTGACAAGTAGCTCATAACAGAACAAGGAAGATTGAAGACAAAAGTAAGGCGGATTGAAATGCACAGAGGTCCTCCAGACAGATACCAGACAGGTATAACTGAGAGGCAAGCGGTATGTGACAAGATAGGGCCCTTCAGAAAGAGGTATGAACCTCAGATAGCAGCAGTTTGATGTACAAGCCAGTGAGCTTTACACAAGTCAGAGAGGATCTCCATTTGTAGAGAAAACCTGTGTCATGTCTGATGTACTCGGAGCATCAACAGGCATCAGCCAACAAGTTGCAAGATAGGCAATAAAAGGAAGCTGAGGATCGCCTATAAGATGCAAATGTGCAAGCGCGGTGACGCTGAGCACCAGATGCAACCACAGTTGAACCGGAGCCAATCTCATTGTGCCTCCTGCGCATCATCGGCATCAGACCCGGTGGCACAAGAACATCAAAGCACAGCATAGGAACATTTCACGTGCGAAGTCAGCAAGGACAGAGCAGAAGCAGAAGCCCTAGCCCAACCATATACCACATAGTACATCAGCGGCGCAGGAGCGGGCAAGAGTGCAACTAGAGCAGAGTAGTCACAAAGATGAAGAGATACATGTGGCATGCCAGAATAAATATCGGAGGAAAGAGAGTGCAAGATCGGCAGGAACGCCGTGGAAGACTGGGAGGAACGCCATGGTGGTTGACAACAAGAAGCGTCGGGAAAGCTCGGCGCGTCCAGCGGTCAGCCACGTGACACTAACTTCCCGCGCGCAATATTCACAAGCATGTGTCGTCCTCAACCAGCAACGCATAGCAAAGGAATGAGAGTAGACGATCGGGAGGAGCAACATGGTGGTTGACAACAAGACGCATCGGGAGAGCTCGCGTCGGGAGAGCTCGGCGCATTCAGCGGTCTGCCACGTGACACCAACTGCCTGCGCGCAACATACATGATCATTTGTCGTCCTCAATCAGCAACGCACAGTCACCACGGCATGAGCTTTACCTGAGCGTAGAAAGATGAAGCGTAAGCAGTGCGAAGAATATAATTGAGCTGCGAAGTCATAGCCAGAAAGAATTGTGATACAATCACTCCAGAACTTTCTGTTAAATCGAGAGTTCTGCAAACATGTCCTTGTCCAGTACATACACAAGGCAGTGTTACAAAGAAGGAGCAAATGGTAAGATGTATCAATAAGCAGGTGCACCTAGGTCACAAGTCAGAACGCAAGGAGTGTGCGTAGAAGAATTCCTACGCACGCCAAAGGGTTACCCACTTTCCGGGGAGAGAGACGAGATTAGCTTGAGAAATCGAAGCGATGACATTGCACTGCAGCTCACAGAATGCTGAGAGCTGGAGTATTATCTATGCTTTGTAGAGACGTCTGACAAAAGTGAGTGGAGAGGCCAGCTCTAGCATTAGCTATAGCGTGCAGACCACTCTCTGAACAAGCAAGGAATGTGTTCCCTGGACAGACAGAAGAAATACGGGAAGAACATTTACAGAGTTTGTAGAGGTATCCTAAGATTCAGCGCCTATCATCACTTCCCATTGTTTTGTGATGTCTCACTTGTGCTCGCTCGAACAGGTAGCAGAGTCGCAAGAGTCCTTTCATCAAGCCTCTCAGGGTGCTCAACACGATAAAGAATACAATGTACTCGGAGACATATGCAGCATAGATGACAAAACGGACATACAGACAAACCAGGTATCTGCCCCAAACCATTGAAACTCGCATTGTTTGAGTACTAGCCACATGTATGGCAAGGGCACAGGTGGGAACTCGCTACCATCTCCAATCATCCATAATGCATAGCATGGCTTATGCGTCCTCATACTCCACCACAAGGCAATGTTGGCCTGCCAAAGCCGCCTTCCACGCTTCTTCAGCGTGACCAATGATCGTAAGCTTGATACGATTTCCAGAGCGAGATGCCAGCCGGTGTAAATGAGCGAGAGTGGCTCTTTTCAAGGCGAACCCGTCAAGGATCATGTGTATCCGTAGAGAGACTGGCTCTTCTCGACTCTGAGCGAGAACCTCGAGCATATCTCGGACACCCCCAACATCCCCGCTTAACCTGAGAGTTGTGAGAGCTCCCATGCCTGACAGCGCGCTGATAGGATCGCGTTGAAAAGGGTGCGGGGACAAGGACCTCAGTCCGACGTGTAGGCGCTTAGCCACATGCAATGGACTTATGGCAGACAATATGCCTTCCATGACGGACGCATGCATGTCGATGTTGTTGGGATGAGAATGCGTCGAGTCGATGCTCAGCTTGGCACGTCGCTCTGGCAAAATATAGCGCGAAATGCTCATGAGTGAGAGGTCCACAGCGTTGATCTGAGTATCAATATCAAGAAGATGCGATGGAGTGAAGTTGGGTAAAGCGAGCATGTTCCGAAATGTAGCGACTAGCGCCTGCACTCCTTGCTGCATGATGTGATTGTCGATGACCTGGATAGGGTTGGCGATACCTCCTCCGTGACCATGAAGATATAAGGTTGTAAGTGAGGAGAGTCCGTCCGTAGAGCATAATGCAAAGAGACGGTATAGGTCAGAGCAACGTATGGAAAGGTCGGCAACTTGAAGATGGGGCAAGTTCAATTTGATGGGCTTAGATGCTGCTGCATCTAGAGCTTGCTGCATGGACCTGATGTTTAATGTAAGGCGTTTGAGCCTGAGAGCGCTGATGACGACGATCGCGTCCTCTGGGAGCCCGTCTACGTCCTCGATACACAGCTCTGAGAGCTCTGTGCACAAAGCAAAGGAAGGTGCAGATCGCATACCGCGAAGACGAATAAAAGTAGCGTGAGGCGCCAGAAGAGTGCTCCGTTTCCATGCTACATGAGGATGGGTTTCAAGATAGAGAATCCGCAAAGCCTGAAATGCAGCGCCAGTTGAAAAGATATCTTTGATGTTGGCGCATGCAGAAGGGGATGGCGATCGAATGCGGGCTTTCTGAACCAGCTGCCGATTCAAGTCTATGAGAGACAGGAGGTTGATCATGTCTCTGCTTGGCACAGCGTGCTTTATGCCATCGGCATAGACCTTGAGACGCGCACTACCGTTGGCTTGAGGGAGAACAAATTCTTGTACAGCGTCGATCAACCTGTCAGAGAAAGGACCGACAGTAGTCCACAGGTCCAGATTGGCGTGCACTATGGTGTGCCATCTACGGCACACTGTCGCTAGCTGGAACAGGGCGCTTATGCGGCATCCTAGTGCATAGAAGACGCATCTAAATATCCAACACCAGAGCTCCACCGGAAGATCATATGTGGGCCTTGTGGCTGGCCTCAAGCTAGATCCAGCGACTGATATGTCAAGTTGCCGATTGAGTGTCGCCATTGTAGTGAAGGTGATAAGACAAGAAGCTATCTGGGTCAATCACTCTCCCTTTTGCGGAAGCTGCCTCATCTGGATATAACCAGAGCCTATATAGAAGCTTCTCTCTTCTGCACGTGCAAAACCTTAAGAAGACTATGCCGACGGCAAAGCAGGCCTTACCTGATCAACGGTCAGACCTCCAGTTCTCTGGTATCAACCTATCTAGTGTCTTTTGTAGCATGTCTATCATCGTTGGACGCTGCCTGTGAGTCCCAGGCCGGCATTGTTGTGGTACACAAAAGGTTTGATACTTAATGCCCTTCCTAAGTTCCTTGATCTACCTATACTGTTCATTATCCATACAGTGCATGCTTTGTGGGTTTGTCCTTATGACTTGTGTGAGAAGAGGTAGAGGACTTTGTGAATATGATTCAAACCTATCTCTTGACTACCCTGTAGAGCAAGATGTTGCATGACAGCCAAGGCATCTGCGATAAGTTGCCACATAGGGCAAATTACTACGTCAAGAGATGCATTAACAAGCCCCACGACTGAAGCTATACACCATATACATGTATATACTTATACACCCAATTATGAGAAGCATCCAAACCTGGGACCAATAATGTAGAGCAGGCGATAGAGACCTATCCGGCTCAAAGGAATACAAAGCCGACTCCGTCACCATCAGATGTGACAGTATAGTCACTGAACTACTTAGAGAAGATACTGGGGCTTATTCTGCATGAGGCACGAGCTCGAATACTCCTGTCTTCATATCCGTCTGCAACACATGAGTATGAGAAAGGGCAACATGCCGTCTGATTTCTCTGTATGTGGGTATGGCTGAGTTTCGATCACAATAAGTAGGGGACATATAAGACAAAGCGCTTCACGCACTGATGATCGCATCCACAGACTCCTCCGAGAAGTGGTCGGATAGCCAAGCCGATGAATTTGAGTACTCCCGAACGCTATCGCACAGCCTAGAGACCCATAAGTCATGACCGCATAAGAAACTTGCATGTATGGAGACCTACGCATCAGGCTCCAGAATACTCCCATTCCGACAGAGGTTAAGCAGATTTCTCTTGGTATAAAGCCACCATATTTTGCACTAGAGTAAGGATAAGCATTGAGATCCCAATCAGGTGTGCGTCGGTACTATTCACCGTTTGCGATTTTTGCGGCTTGACTTCGTTGCGGGGTTGAACCCGAGTAAGCACGCCAAACCAGGCACGGTCTCCAGTAGGGTTACAACTAGGGTCAGGACGGATCATTACCCTAATAACAGTGGGTCAGATGTTATGGTATTTGAGTCCTAAGGCCCTGCATACGAACAGGTCACCTGGTTCACTGAATCTAACAGAAGTTGTCCGTTTCATGGCATCTACAACACGTACTATAGGTACAGACGGAATGCTGCAGGAAGTTATATGATCAACAGACTGTAGGACAATTCCTCTACTAGACATGACTTACTCACACATTATCTCTGATGAAGGGTACATCAATGAAGGTGATATGTTCATCCAGATTCATGGTTGTCAGTGGAGAAACTAATATGTTAGGGCCCTTTACACTACAGCCAAACCCTTTATATAGGGCAAACTGTATCAACTGCGCATGTCATAAAGGGCATATCAAAGCAATCTATGGCCGCGGTAGCGTCGGAGCACACCTGTGTCGCCGATGTCGTAACTTATGGAGGCAGTGAGAAACCAGAAGGAACATGCGCTGTATAACGACATACAGCGGTTCATTTCCACTCGCACGTACAGTAACACATCTCTCATAAATTTTCAGGTCTTTACACACATCTATTGCACAGCGGGCTGAGAGAAAACTTACGACAGAAGTCTGTAACATCAAATGCAAGCAATACCATGTCATAACGGTTGATGGCTGGTACAGAGAATTCCCTACGCTGATTGTGTTCCCAAGGTCGAGATGTCACATCGACGCAGTCCAAATAAGGCCATATACGAGAGATCGATCACTAAGCAGCACAGGGAAGTATGCCTGGAAAGGTGTCGAAACAGCCTAGAGCTAGCTACGGATCATACCTATACGATCAGGAACCCGAAAGCCTTCACATAACCTTGTATAGCGGCTGAAGCAGGCCTTGAGGCCATTGAATATCCTCCATCGTGACTTGTTATCTCAACTACTAGAGCTGCAGTAATGCTTACGATGTGAAATGAAGACAAATAGCATAAGCCATCCGTGGTTCTGCAGAAAATTCTCAAACTTATCCTGGATCAAATAGATGCATTCCTCCAGAAATGATGTGTTTTGCACGCAGTTGCACCATAAGATTAGTCAATAGGAAAACCATGGCGTTAATGTCAGTGAGTAACGCGCCCATAAGAGAGGAGCTCCATTAGCATGAATACACAATATCATGAGGGTTTGTGCGTCCGGACCATTGAATGTAGCGGGAGGAACATAGAGACGTTACATTGTATGAAGTATGCATTTGTAAGAGCATCTTACACACAGCACAGCGTAAAGACCTAGGCAGAACATCCCCCTTAGGATGCCAGAACATATAATCTATTTGACGTCTCCAGTCAGACTTGACTCCTTCACTTCACCAGCTGTTGATCAATGCCAGCGTAAGTGTACAATTTAAGACATAAATCATCATCTGGCGCACCTATTTCACCGGCAGTATCGATCTCTAGACACTGAGTGATCACCTGCTCTTGGATCATCCGCTGCTTCCGCTCTGCCTTCTTCTCCTCCTTGCGCGTTGCTTTGCGCTCAGCCTTTGCCTTTCTCTTATCCTCCTTTATCTCGCTCAAGATAGCTTCGCAAGTCTCGCGCCATTTCCTCTTCTCGCACCGGTACACAATATTTGGCATAAAAAGTGACTCCAGATCAGGCGCTTCGTGATATTCCTTGGGTGCGTCGGGCGAAAGATCGGGGTATTTTTTGCAGATTCCAAGTTCCTGCAGCTCCTCGTATGTCTTGAGAGTCGGACGAGGCGGTAAGACACCTTCTTGAATCAGCTCGTCGCTCGTCTTCTTCCTCTTCGACTGGACAATTGGCGCCTGGGCAGACAGGCGAGGAGCACCAAGATTAGGATCAGGGCGGCCGCCGCGTGCTACGTTGCCATTGGTGTGACAAGAGCGAGTAAAAGAAGTCTACACAAAGGTCAGTAACACGCCTATTGTGCTTTGACAATGCAATGAACCTGGATCTCGTTGGACATGGTGGTGCGCGGTCAAGTTAGCGATATTACATCATGAGAACGATGAGGGTGATCTTTTATATGAATGATGGGCCACATTGCTGGAGCGCGTCCTCCGCATATAGCATAGCGAGATCTGTGCGTCATGAGATGAAAACATCAGCCCGTTTCGTTGCTAAGTAAGCTGTTTACGCGAGTTTAGGGGCTATTGGCACTTATTTTATGCCTAGTCCGCTGTACGAAAGACTAGGATCTATAGGCAAAATGCAGACATGGAAAGGTAAAATGAGTCAACTGCATGAGGCTCTCGATCCAGCCCGCTAGTATTTTGACCCAAGTAGGGTATAGCCAGTCGGCCTCATCAGGGCCGCATCTGTTTCCGAGATTACAGAGGCAACAAGTGTCTCACATAAGAACCAGATGAAGCCTCGCAAGAGAATGCGATAACTAATCAGAAACAGGAAATGGGCATCAAGAGGAACCACTGCAAAGAGCATCTTATCTGTATTCCGTCACAGAGTACTACAGATGCTGAGCGCAGAAGATGCTACTGGTGCAGAAGTTAAGATGGAGGTAGCGTTGGTAGGCAGATAGAACGTCGAGGCTAACACATTCTGACACACATGGTGGGACGTATGGCAAATACACTCTCAGAGCCAAAAGCCATGTAACAATGGTGTCGGCCTAGAAGGCCAAACCAGTTCATAGCAGCTTGCCCTCAACAGGGTTGTACTCTTTACAAACATTTCTGAGACAATAAGACAAAGATTTATTACAATTGGGTAGATCAATAAGATACTCTACATTAATACAAGCCGGTAAACAAGCAGACTAAAGATCCTACACCTCCGGAGTACCGTTGCGCTGGATTGCAGTCCTCTGGATTCCAAGAATTGCATAGCTGCGTCTCTTCGTCTTCTTGTTGCCGGTGATTTGGACTCCGAAGTTGCGGGAGATATTCCACATGGACAGGATCTCCTCCTCTGTGGGTGCAACTTCAAGAAGTTAGACAAAAGCGGATGTGAGGAGGCAGACAACAGACGCACCAAGGATATGATGCAAAGGGACTTTTCCAAGCACCTCGTTCGTGACAAACACCATGTTGGGATGGGAATCCGACGAAGGCAGAAGCTCAATCTGGGAGCTGAGGCTGGCGTGCAAATGTTAGCAGGCGAATGGAAGTAATCTAGGTAGACACACACCTTTTGCGATTGGTGGCGACACCATTCTCAGCAACGGCCTTCATACACTTAAGCGACTCCAGATAAAGTAACGTGGCTTGGTTCTTGCTGATGCCTATAACCACAGCTGCCCACATCTCCTCGGGAAACTTCTCCTTCGTGGCCGAAGGAGTCAGGATCAAGCTTCCAACAGAGATAAAACGGGGGCGCAGTCCTGACGCATTCTCTGTCAACCAGGGTATTTCAGCAGTAGCGCTGTTCCCCTCATTCCTGTGGAGCGCGCATTAGCATACATCACACAATAAAGTCAACTGACGACACACAACTGCCCCACGACCATGGGATGATCCCTGAGCGACATAACCTCTGCGTGGTTCTCCGACACCGTAACCTTCTCAAGATAATCGTCCTGAAATTTGCGACATGTTGCACTCCAATCGGAGTCCTTGCTGACACCATTCGGATAGCGCTTGTCCTGCAAGCGCTTGCCCGCGCTCAGAACCTTCCTGCGCCCTCCTTTACCCTTCGACTTGACATGATCATCGGCGTACGGTGTCGAGGCCTGCCTGGCTCGCAACGTGCGCGTTGACTTAGCCTGAGCCTCAGCATGCGTTGACGAGACTTGAGCGTCGGCGTGTGTTGACGAAACTTGAGCGCCGACTTCAGTTGGGGGAGCTCCACTGCCAGTGTGCGAGTTGGCTATGCTGCGAGTAGCCCGTGACGGAGGCATGGGTGACAGAAGCGAGGTGAAAGAGAGACAATAGAGATGGTGGTGGGACGAGGAACGTAAACGCGCGCACAGATGGCCGTCAAACGCACTCGGGCCGTCACTCCAGTACAACCACAACCACAACCACAGCCAAGACGTAATCAGTCCCGCCGCCAACTCTTTTGCTTGCGCTATGAGGGTAGCGACATTAGTTCAGGCGTTATTACATCTGTTCATATCCTCTGACTATAAACTCGATCGAATACTGTCTGGGCTTCAGACTCTAAGACTCGAGTGCATGAACGAAAAGCTAATACATGAGAACATAGTTGAGAGCATGTAGTGCAAGGGCAAAGCAAATATCACACTTGATTGAGAGAGAGAAGGACCGACATCAACAGTGAGTTATCACTGCAGCACAAGGCGATGGCATCGACCCATCGCGCGAAGACAGAGGAAACCTGCTCTTCACGAGTACATTAACCGTAATACTACTGTGCGCTACATACTATGCTGCTTCCGAAGGTTCTAGAGCACATCTGGTACGAACGCAGAGACTGATATCACAATGCAAAGGTAGGCGTTTGAGCACATGAGGCAAATGAAAAGCCTAACGGAATCAGCTTGGCTGGACACAGACGTCAGAAAGTCTCAAGCAGGGCTTATACTGACCACTAATCATGGTAGTAGCGCCCTTTGTAACTTTGGCGCCTAAACTTCTCGAGCACGCAAGGTGAAGACCCGTCTCGGCGTTTGGCGTGATCCGCTCGTGCACGTGGCCCCGTGTGGCACCGTCTTCCACTCCGGCATCCTCGTGAACATTTCCGTGTAAGGCTGGCCGCTCGGTCGACTCCTACGATACTTATCGTGCATCATAAGATACTGCTGTTCATGCGTATTCCGAACAGCTACGGCAAGCCTCGGTACTCCCGCCTTTGTCCTGATGCTCATACGTCTTGCCCCCCTAGGGTCTCGTCTCTTGACCCATCGGCGGCTTCTGAGCCTACGAACATGACATACCCACATCATCATCCTTTCACTATCCTCTCATGACGCTGGAAAGTATTCTCGGATCGGACTTTGGCTCGCGCGCTCGAGGGCTAAGGGCACAGAGAGCGAACGAGACAAGAATCGGGCCGGAATGCCGAGAATGCCGAAAAGTCGCGGCACGCGAAGGGGGCGTGGGAGCCGACTTCCTAAAGACGCCCAACTTTCAGGCACACGCGAAACCGACATCTACAAATCAACGAGTCAGGGATGACTCGTAACCCAATGGGCTCCTCTTTGTTTATAATGGATGAAGCGTGGCTAGGCCCACGCACAAAGTCAACCATCCAAACAAGTTGGAAATTATCGCCAAAGTCTCGCTCTGCTTGTTTGGGCTGGCATCAGAGAAACAGGTGCACTTCTTACCAGTGACTCATGATAGCCGTGCAGAAGCATCTGCATTGATCTCAATGCGCTGTTCATACTGCAAGTCATCAGCATCAAAATCTATATGAGGAAATGATGGGCCAGCTTACCTGCTTGATGTGAATTATGAGCACAAGGGTGAGACACAGCCCGTGAAGAGGTTTGCTAGTCCCTGTCGGTGTTAGTCCCTGCTGGTGTCCGGCCCTTAGTAGTAAAGTAGTTGAGATCCTCATCGCAACCAGTATGGAGAAAACGGTAGAGATCGGCGAGAGTGCCAGTCAGATTGGCAGTGTCAATGATATTGTTGCCTACAGTATGAATGTCAACATCAGATAGACGCAGCTCAAAGTCATGTTATAAAAGCAGCAGTACGATGGTGTGTAAACCCCCGGGCCAGTACAGTCGGCTGACAGGCAAATGACGAGATATGTACATCATGCAGGGCGGGACGAAAACGAGTGCAAGTGAGGTGTGAGAAAATGTGTTTGGGAAGCGCCAAAGCTGTACAGTAGCTATCAAACACGATTACATGGATTATTGTAATAAGTCACGAGTCTTCAGCCACATTGTATTCCAATTTGCAAGCACATCTTCTATAAAAGCTGCAAGATATGTCAGCATGACACACATGAAAGCAGGTAACAGTCAACAATCCTGATACCAACATATCTCCATTGAATGACCTAGCAATCGAGCCAAGCTCATCCTTCAGCACCTTAAGCTTGGTGCCTGAGCCAAATGACAGCACGATCTAAATATTAACTTGCTGAGGCTCTAAGGCACCAGGCATAGACAAGTTCAAGGATGTAGACTGTGAGGAAAACTATTGTGCCATGCCGACATCATCCTTCTTGGTAGCAGACAGGTGTCATGGTTCGATCCTTGGTCCCACAACTATTTATTTTTTCTTTTCATTTTCTTTTTGATTATCTGGCAATGGCCGGAACACACCAGTAGCCCACCCGGGCCAGAGGCTAGAGTGGTCCGGTACTTACCAGAAGGTTTCGGAATGTTCCCCAACTACTGTATAGATTCGACCTTTAGTTCATGGCCGCGAGGCGTTACGCGTGACACACCGATAAGTTCATCCAAAACGGAGTTCAGATGGCCGAGTTACGCGTTACGGTAGTTCGGTTCGTGGCCGACCTACCCGTGAGATAGCATGGCTACAGCCATGATCTGGGGACGTAGAGTGCCTCGTAAAGTATTATCATACTTGAGGCCACATATCCTTACAGTACGTGCTGTTTTAACAGGCCGGCTAGGCTCGAGAGAAAGTTTAGAACTTAATCGATCATTTCAGCAATTTACCGACCGTAACGCTTATCAAGTTCGGACCCCCCGCGTTACGCGTTACGGGAGTTCAAGTTCGGCGACCTGCGTGACGCGTTACGAACTTCAGGTCAAATCTATACAGTATGTGACTCATGCCATTCTCATATGATTTGGCCCAGTCTGACTCACCTCCACTCAGTCAGCGGAGGCGGGGTGGCTCACTAAGCACGTTCCCACTAAGGCTGTGTATGACTTGGACTACTATATAAGACTGCTTTCTATATATTTGTATTCTCTAGTTTGTCCATCTTGCTACCCATCTAGACGTTCTCCTTGCATTCTTGTCTTGAACTTGTCCCTACTGCGTGACCCATAGGTATCTGTTCTAGTGAGCCCCTAGCAGCAGGGATTTGTTGGTAAGATCAAGTTGGTCCTGCAGTGCTGACCAAACTGTTTAGTCAGATGAAAAATCTTGACCGGCCATCCGACTTTCCATGCGAGCCTGGAAAGCATTGTTCTGTTAATCATGAGCGGACTCCACCGAGCCGTGCACTTGATTGGTTGTCTGGAGATTACGATGTCAGATTCAATTTGAGAGAGGGCACTGTGGCATGTTCTACAAAGAGGAGTGTCAGGACACCATCAGTCACGAGGAGGGAGAAAAAAATACATTGAACTTGTTATACTTGTCCGAGCCAGGAACCAGTGTTGTGTCAGCAACGGCTAGGCGGCCACTTACTAACACAGACAAGGACGAGCATAGAGACCAAGGTAAGCGGCTAGATAGCCGGTGTATTGACTAGATCAAGGTTAAGAGTAAGTTACAAGCGGAGGCGGAGTCTTATATAGGTAGGGCGAGGCAAACAACCGTAAACAAGGCGCGAGAACTAGATGAGTCGAGTGTGAGTCACGGGGTTTGCCGAGTCACGTGAGAGTTGGGAAAAAGGAAAAGAAAAGGAAAAAGATAATAGATAACCGGGTGTCCGTAACATGTTGCCAACTTTGCACATTTACAGTACAGGCCCACATTAGTCTTGAACTCAGATGGTGTATTGCATGCTAGTATGTCGTCCTTGTCTGAAGCAAGCCTGCACCATTACCGACGGCGTACATGACGATCAGGCGGTAACCTAGTGCTGAACCGAGTGGCAATCACTTGGTAACCGCCTGCAATCAGGCCCATCACACCTGGTAACCACTTGTTCGGGAGCCATGCGAAATCAGCCGGAAAAGGTGCCCAATCAGGTGATTGTCCGCACCGGTTTAGTCGAAATCTGATGGTAACCGCTTGATTTGTTTACATGTAAAATCACCCGGTTCCCAATTCATGACGAATCATGCGGAAAGTCAGGCATTTTATGCTATTCAGGCGATTACCGCCTGATCATCACACGGGTTAGGATTTATGGTGCTGATGCACAGTTTAGGGTCGAGAGGAGTGCCAGTTGACATGGAGAGGGAGTGATAGACAAGTGTGAGGCAACAAATTGAGTTGCCACACTTTTATACCAAAGCTGTTGATAATAGCTGGACTCTTTTGTATTGTCGAAGGAGAGGTCCATGTCTGCATAAACAAACCTAACAAAAGCTCAGAGAGCCCATATCAATGTTGGTGTGGTTAAAGTCAGAAGTTGTATTGTGAACATAGTGGTCGCCAGCAAGATGCAATGGCCGTGATGTGTTGCAATCAGAGTGCAGGTGCATGGCAGGCACTGCGTCACACTTTGGACCTCAACTATGACCACAATCATAGTTCACTATGAAGTAAATTAGCCCTGTGCCTATGCATGGACATCCATCACCACTTGTTGATATTCGGTATAGAAACTGCAGAAGTGGTTTCCCTAATTGGCCTAGACTCCCAAGCAGCCCATTCATATAGAGCTCAGAGGTGTCTAATACATATGTCAGATATTTGTTATCCCACCCGTGCGGAAGTGCAGGTGTACAGTTCAACATTCTTTGGTATCATGCACAGATCGGTCCACAGATGGTGAGTATGGTGAGAGCCTGCTGGAGCAAAGATGCTCCTGACAAGTCCCTGCATGGTCGTAGTCTATCCACATGCAGTCTGTGGACTATTTTCATGGTATAAATAGACTGGTGGACTTGTAATCCTCAGCTCTTATCAAGTCTTACATTTCTCCGATCTTCTCACTACTGCAAGTCTTGATCAGTATCCAATCTCGGCATGCCACGGAATAATCCCTCTGGGAATTAATGACCGCAATAATGGTTTACATACGTCTGTTGTATGACTGTGGTAGACTCTTATTCTCCAATCTCATTGTGCACTCACAGAGCCTCCAAATGATGTACTGAGAGATGTATTGCATGACTATGCAAAGCAAGGACTATCATTAGAAGTTCGCCTTTGTAAGTTGGGAAAGAAGTATGGTTCCCATATCAAGTACGTGATTGTATACTCATTTGTCATCCTATATTATGCTGATCACCTGTTAGGAGGACAAAGTTGATAGCATTGAATAAGGAGTTCTTGGTTCCATCCAGTCGCAAGGGTGTTAAAGGGCAGGTGGCAATGCAGCTCGTTATCGACGAGTTGGCTCTTGATCCTGCTGGTCTGCATGGCCCTGTGGCGATACAAGAGTGGCTGCACCTCAAGAGCAAGCCTGTTTCATAGCAAGTGTCTGTATGTACTCACTGCCAGTACATGGCTAATGTCCCGGCATCAGAGATCGTATACGCGAGATCATGCATGCTATGGATCCAGATGGACCTGATAGGCGCTATCCCGGCAACAAGATTGCTGCCATTTCTTGCAAGCCTCTCAATACTCTTGGATCAGATGCTTGGTGCACTTGCACTTCGAATGGATAGTCTTGGTCTACCAATCTATGGCTTTAAAAACAAATGGTCCAGCTATATCCTGTCTCTCACAGTTATACTGAATGACTGTGACCCCACCCCAATTGCTTACCTTTACTGTAATCTATTGGAGACGTATGGCTGTGAGTATACCGGTTTCGCTCTGAAGAATTTTGCTCACAGCATACAGGCATCCCACTGAAAATTACTGCTGATAAGGGCACCAAAACTTTGGAGCTGTATGCAATGCAGAATGGATAGTGTGAGATATATGCATCTGGCATCAATACAGATGACTGGCCGGCCTTCCAGGCCCTTCAGAGTGCTTATAATACACCCATCAAAGGACTCTGGAACTTCTTACTGAAGAATACCGGTGTCAACCTGAAGGGGATCATCCTTCACAGCAAGACAGAAGGAATATATCATATGGGAGATGATTATCACTGGTGCATTTGTCGACAGCCGACTTACTCTGCTCTCTCAACTGATGGTGGATCCTGTAGCCAACTCTTCCACTGGATCTGACCGAGAGTCATTCAAGATGAGCTAGATGCTTATCGCCAGTATTGGAATATGAATACCATTCATAACCAGAAGAACAAGCTGATGCCATCAGGTGACTCCCCCAATCAGTTCTAGATAGAGCCAGAGGAGTACAATGGCCGATATCTGACTATACTAGTGCTAAAGGTCCCAGTCCAGGCAATGCGTGCTGATCTTGATAAGACACACGAGGAAGTCATGGCATGGCCGATCATGGCAGAGTTTGATAACATGGCGGAGGCGGTACACGAAAAGCTGGGCAGCCCAACTATCACCAAGGAGAATGGCTGGGATATTTCTGCAAGATGATGCCGTTGATTCGGAAGGGTTTTGAACAAATCAAGTAGATATACACAAGTGTTATAGTCTAGTTTCATCACATTGTGTGACAATGATATCCTGCTTGTCAAACTGAAAACTTCGTAGTTGGCGTGTGTGCCAAGACACCCATGCATGCAAACAATGAGGCTGAATCCATCATTAATAAGAGTACCTGCAATGAATGTACATAGCAGACTTTAATGCAAGACTTAGAGAGGATTGTGGGAAGGAGCTTACCAATTGATGGTTCACCGAGAATAGTGGAAATGTGCTCTCTGGCGAGCCAGAGCTTAGTAAGCATTTTGGCCACAACGGGTATTGTGCTCATTCCCACCATATGTCTTGCATGATTACTTTAGGTGGCGAACCTCCACCATAGCAGCTAGAGAGTGACAAGACATTGGTGAACTATTGCAAGTTGCAAATGAGAATGCAAACAGCCCGCAACATGACGGTTGTGTTCAAGCCTCGATTCCATGCTTGGTCAGCTCGCTGCGCCATATTGTGGCCGTTGGAACCGTTGCTGCTATTTACACCTAATGTAAATGTTGTTGACAGGTATCAAACGATATTGAGATATCTTACATCAGCCGTGGCATTCTAGTGCAGTCCTGCTGCGGATATTCGAACATTTTGGGATCTACCAAGCTGGTGGGGTGCCAAATCTTCCGTGCCAAGAGTGTTGGTGTGGAGGATTTGATGTCCTTAGGCACTGTATCTCCCACACCTTCACTGTTCCCGTCCTTATGCGCTCTATGACTGCCATACTGTAATGTCGGTGTTGGTGTGGAAGAGGGGACTCGTGTGGTTGGGCAAAGGCATGACATCATTGTTCGCAGTGCGACCACACATGTCGAAACAATAAGTCAAAATTTGACCTTGACCTTCCCGCCTACTCTAGACTTGGTGTTCTTACAATCTTTGTGACTGATCTCATGCATCTTGTCTGTTTCAATCACACAGACTTGATCCTCGGTCTAGTGTGTGGCACAATCAATCGTGATTCCAAGGACTTGAAGGACAACTGGCCGTGGTTCATCCTCAAGCTACCCGAGTTTAAAGTGTATGGTGCACAGGTTGGAGGCTGTAGTCATTTCATACCTGGTGACTTTGACATTGCATGTCGTGATCTTGCAAAGAAGATGAACAGCAGGTATAAGGCAAAGGAGTTCCTTAACTACTTCTTTGGCTACTTTGCTCCCCTCCTGCACTCCCACCACTCTACTTCAAGATCTTCTCCAAGGCTCTCGTTGGACTCTCAATAATCAACTGGAAGTCATTCACCTCCGATGACCTCTGCTTTGCTCATGAGATGCTTGTAGAGTTTGAGCATGAGTTTGAGCTCCACTTCTATCAGCACATGCCTGAATGTATACACTTTGTGCAACAGGCTATATATTAGCTGCCTCATCTTAGCTGGCTCTCGTATCTCATTGGGCCCCTTGATTTAATGACACAGTGGACGCAGGAATGGCTCATAGGCAACCTCGAGTGAGAGATTAAGTAGCCATCACAGTATTCAATGTGTAGTATACTCTGAGATGTTTGTGGTGGTGGTTAAGATCAGGCTTGTTATGAGCCACATTGGCAATGGGCAATGCATGAAATGCACACGTGCGGGCTTACTAGCTCGCCAAATAGGCCGCACTTTGTACTTCTTGACCAACCACCACTTTCAAGACCAGAAATTGAGACTATGAACACTTGCCCGCACCGCCATGTGTGACTTTCATTGTTACCATTGACCACCTCTCTATTTTGTCGGTATGCCTCGTGCCACAACTAATTCAGCTAGGAAATCTGGGAGCGGATGCGGGCACTATCAGTATGTATGCTTGCAGTCGTTCTCTTGCAAGAACGAGCTCACCAAGCACCAAAAGAGGTGTGATGCTCACCATTTTCAAGGGGCCATTCGCAGTACCTCTCACAAGAGGAGTGCATCTGGTGCTAGTTTCCTATCATCATCAACAGCCCAATCACATCCCAATCTCAAGAGACTACGTCTGAGCATCAGGAAAACGCCTGCCCTGTAACAGCACATCACACTCCAATAATACCCCGTTGATAACCTAATGCCCAAATAATAGCTGTCAGCCGATGGCGGTTCTAGGTGCACATAATGCTAACTCACCCAGTCGTATTCCAGTGTTCAGATAAATATAATCAGCTCACCTGTCATAAAATGGTACATTTTTCACACAATTAAATTCATCAAATAAGATGTCATTCCATGTGAGCGAGTAGATGTACAGGTAAGCAAGATAGCGCGGGGCAGAGTGAATTAAGTAGAACATAGACAATGATGTGCGAGAGAGTAGCAAATGGCAGCAAAGTAGTACAAAGAGCATGTAGATGAGCGTGACAAAGGGTGAGTGTGATGATATCAAGAGGTCCGAGGGAGCTGAGTGCGAGCGAGAGATGGGTATACAATTCAAGAAAAAAAAGCGGCCCCGAGTGCTGAGGATCATGAGCAGGACGAGGAAGTGAAGAGGGATGCAAGAGGGACACTGTAGGAGATTGCCTATGCTAGTAGTTAGTACTAGAATCATATAATAGAAAAGTGTGACACACTGAAGCTCTACCTGTCCCAAGCACTGTAGAAGTTGGGGACCTCATCCTCCAGATTGTCGTAGTCCATCAGATATTCCTGGCAGCACCTTCAGCAGTGATGACCGTTGCCATTCGGTGATTGTTGGAACTCGACGGGAGCCTGCCCGCGCTTGATCGACGTGAGCATGTAGCGTAGGAAGAGGTAGTTCTCGAGCTTCTCCATCTCGGCCTCCCTCAGGTTGCCCAGAGCGAGTTCACAGAGCTGGTACTTCGTGAACCACCCATCCGTGCCCTCTATCATTTGGTCTAGTTTGCTCACGAACATGGCATCCACAAAGAACTCACACATTTCCTTTAACCAGATGCGGCACTGCTTCGGCTCATTATTCAGGTCCTCGGATGACCAGGGTGTGGGCCAACCCTTTGGGCCAATCAGATTGCCGCCTATCATGATGTTCTTGATATGCCTGGCAATAGGGAGCCTGTGGTAGACAAGCTTGGGGACCTTGCATGTCTTGAAGCTTGGGTCCTTGACGTCGAGCATGTGGTGCTTCATGCCCTTCTCATTGATCGCTACCGGAATTGTGGACTCCTCGATCTTGCTGTTCCTCACAAGCTCGGGAAGCGTCTGGAGCAGGAGGAGCTGGCTAAGGGAGTGCATGAGGTTGTAGAGCTTGTTGTCACCCTTTATGAGCTCTAGTATCGCCTCGTGTCCGTACAGGAGCTTTCCAAACGACGGGTGATCTTCCACATGAGCCAATAGGTGCTCAGCTTCCTCAATGCCAAAGATTGTCTCCTCAATGGGCAACAGCTGCGGCTGGTTCTCCTTCCCCTTCCCCTCTTCCTTGCCTACCATGCATGGGCCATGCACCCAGAGCCCCTTCTCCTCCCACTCAAGGAACAGGATTGCATGCCAGTCCCTTGTGCTGAAGTGCTTGATCTTGCTGCCAGGGCGGTGCGAGAGTTGCACCAGGTGGAGCAGCATGGGCAGGAGGCGCATAAACAAGACCATGTACCTGTCCAGGCGGTCATTGACACACTTCCTCTCCTTGCCGTTGCCCTTCTCCACCACCTCGCCCTGCTCTTTCTCCTTCTGCTCCTCGCCTTGCTCCTTTGCAACCTTCTATCCAGTGTTCATGAAGAGGTGGAGGGGTGGGAAGAACGTCAGGCCATTCTCCTTTAACTCCGTGGGCGCCATGAGCTTCTGGTTGCGCAGCACTATTGCCTCGGTGTCGAGGGAGGTGCAAATCAGTTGCGGGATGAAGGGTGGGCACTTCTTGCCCCAAAGGTTGATGAAGCGGTATATTGCAGGTGCCTACTCTGACACGTACTCGTAGCGAGCCTGTGACGTCCTGATGCCCTTGTGCTTCTTGGCAAACTTCTTCTCGTGCTTGTCCTGCTTCTTTGCTTCTTCCTTGAGAAGGCGCTGGCGCTTTGCATCTGTGATGAACGGGTAAGTGATTATTGTTAGTATGGAACCAGAAGAGCCACGTACTACACTCATTTTCAGCACTCTCCGCCTTCCGTTTCTGGCTCACTTTGAGCTCATCAGATGGTTTATGCAATGGCGTCAGCACATCTGATGACAAGTGAGTTGCACCCATCCGTGCACACACCTGGACCTCATCCCACGCAATATCCTCAGGCACGTATCCCCTGAGCGGGAGGTCCTTCTGTTTCACAAACACTATAGAACTTTGTTAGAATAGGTGGAATGATTATAAAAATGACTTACACAACTTATAGTCAGTGTTGGGGTCACAGCGGATAGTGCCGGGCTCCTGCAGCTTCTCCTCCGAGATGCTGGCCACCTCAAATAGCATCTCCAGGTACGTGGGCACGCCTAATGTGTGGTAGAAGTCGTGGAACTTCTCGATGTCCTCGCCAGTGAGTATGAGACCGCGCATATGTACGAGTGGAGTGTCGACAACTGGCAGGACTGCGCGCTTGGACTTTTGTCAAGCACGTAGCCACGCTTTTGTATTGTTGTTGTCAACCTCTCAGAGAAGTCCCGTGCAGAGCAAAACAAAGCCCTCGACTTTGCCAGAGAACCGCTGGCAGGCTTCCTAGTAGACGGCAAAGTTGGCAAACGATCTGATCTGGCTATACCATAGCAGACCCCATACCTTGCGCATATTGATGGCCGCAGCAGTGGGGATAACCAGGTCCTTGGCTACTTCAAGATGGAGTTCAAAGAGTGAGTCGGTGAGCAAGGCACTCGCCAGGAGTCGTGTTGCAGTGGCAAACTCATCCCTGAGCGTGTTCACACGTGGGATCAACTACTTGTGTACGTCCTACTGACACACGCAGTTGGACACCGATGGGATGCCGTTGTTGTACACATCTTCTAGGTCTGGGTGCGTATGCAGACCCTCCTCCAGATCATCCTTTGTGGACGTGTGGTAGGACAATGTGTTGTTTACAGTCCTCCGATTAGGCGGCACCGGAATGCACGCCATGTGCACCGACGAGGGGTCGTTCGGCTGGGGATGCAGGCAGATATCGAAGATGCCCCAGTGCACATTGTTGTGAATGTGCCCGACCATGTGCCTCCCTTGCGCGTTTGGTGGTACATATGTGGTGCTATAGGTGAGCACCACGAGCTCTCCCCAGCGTGCAGCGGCAGAAAAGTCCTGCAGAGGGTGGCACAGTGGTGCGGGTGCAAGCTACAACTGAGCTGAAGGAGTTGGCTCGGTGGAGAGTTGGGATGGGGAGGCTGGTGGGGGTGGGGCTGAGCTCTGGCTCAAGCGCTAAGAGCTCGGCACAGACTTCAGCTGGCGCATGTGTGAGGATGAGGATGGGAACTGTTGGTCCTGAGAGGCCTTCACGGCCTCTGCTTCTTTCTCCTTTACAGCTTTCTACTCCACGGTCTTCTTCTTGAAGCGAGGAAGATTCCTTGCGGGAGCTGTAGGTGCAGCGCCAATTGCCGGAGCAGGTAAGGTCGCCATTTTGACACTCTGGGCGGGTATATCCACTACGCTATTGCAACACTAAGGAGAACTCGTCCAAGGGACAACTTAGATAACAAGAACCCGGTGACCTCGATGTTGTGGTGGTGGGTATTGAGGAACAACGACACCAAACGTGCGGCAAGGTTCAGCGACGCGAGTTGCATCTACCCATGCCTCAACCACTGGCATTGGTGGCTCGATAATGACTATTGTAGCCTCACCTTGTATTATTATATATTACTATCATACTAGGCACTTATAAAAAGTAGAAAGGAAATATCATTTCATTTGAGAAACAAGCATACATGAATGTCATACAAAAAAATGGGTAAAACATGGGGGACATACTACTACTTTCTAATAGTAATATATGTCTGTCTGTCTGAGAAGGAATTGACGTAGAACTTAGGGCAGACCTCAAGGACATTTGCACTAGTCCAACCACGAGGAACTTTGGATCCAAATTTGGGGGTGAGGGAGACACTACGGCATATACAGTCAATAGAGAGGATGGACACCACGCGCTCGCTGTCGCCTACCAAGCGGTCAACGCGGTACATGTTGCTATGCTTATCTGGGCCACGAGCGGGGAAGGACGAGAACCATTCAATGTAAGCGAAGTCAGTGGGGACGCCGGTAGGGTTGTTGAACATCTTCTTTCTTGCCGTTTTGGTAAGTGTGAATATGAGCCTGACTTGGCCAAAGCAATATCCTAATGCGCATGCATCAGCAATGTCATTGAAATAGAAGGTAAAGAAAAAGCTGTGTGGGAGGGGTCAAATGTTAGAAGGAAGGCACACCGGTTACTCCATTAGAACCTTCTTCCCCATACTCGTCTATTAGTGCCATGCTGTACTGTCCCTGCACCTTCCTCCTTTGGGCATCATGATAAGCCAGTCGGGCCAAGATTGTGTCGGGAAGTTCTTGAACCCACTCTCCCTCACATTTCAGAGCATCCGTGTGCCAGAACTTGAGGTGGTGATAGGTGCAAACCGATGTGAACGGAAGTGTGTATGCGGTTTCTGCAATGTTGGCGATGTGTTGATTGGAGAGCACAGGACATACTACTTGAGAACTGTCTCAAAATCCTGCGCGCCGTAAAGCCTGTCCGTGTCTGCAAAGTCCACCAATCTATTAGGCGTGCAGGCGATCCTGCACTTGAGCTTGGATACGTGAGGGAGTGGGGTGCGTGGTAGGTCCTCAAGCATCGGCCAACCGTGGAGACATCAATGCATGTATAATTGATGGGCTCAAATCTGTTCGCGCCACTGGAGCCAGACGGTCATTTGCGGGTATTTGTTCTTCCAGTTGGACGCGCAGTAGGCGGACCTGGCGAAATCGATGTGAAGGCGCTCCGAATACGACATCTTGAAGTTGTCGGCAGTTCCAAATAGCCGAATAGAGTCATAGTAGTGAGCAATGGCGTGGATTTTTGGAAAGTTGAAGTGTAACCAATGAGGATTTGTCCGTGCAGGGATGTCTTGTAGCGAAGCTCCTTTGGCAGGTTGCCGATTGTGAGGTATGCAGGGTAGGCTAACCGATTGCGGAAGAGGGTGAGTTGTGTCTTGTCCGAGGATAAGATGAGGGGGATGATGATGGCGCCTGGTTTTCTCCTTTCGAGTTGCACCTAAGCATATTGTTAGTATCTACAACACATTAGTATTGACTGCGATGCACCTGCATCTTCCACCACCACCTCTTTGTATGCATATCCAAATATGCTCGCTCTTCAACTTCACTGACCATCACATAATGCCTCTCCGGCACGGGGATGAGGGACATTGCGAATTCCGGCTGGCTGAAGAGTTCCTTGACAACGTCAAGCGAGTTGCGCATGAAGCCCTAGTCACTTGGTTACTTCAGCTGCATATCTGGACCTCCCCTACCCCATAGCTCCCCACCTCCCCCACTCCCTACCACATAAACTACAGCATATTTCTCGCCTCATTTAGGTGATTCTTATGATGTATAGTACATATCCTAATTTAAATGTATGGAAATCACTATAAATGTGTAATTAAGATTAGATGGGCCTGTTGTAGCAGTACTATACCCTATATCCACTGCTGGGAGTATCTCAGACTACTAATATTGCTACTGGGTATATGTCTGAGTGGCCCTCTAGACTGTCTGTACTGTATAGAAGCTATGGCATGTAGATCTGTATCAGAAATTGAGGGAGAAGATGGGGACAGGTACTGTACCAGTACCGCTTACTCCGGTATAGTAGGTATTGTAGAGCCATATTATTTATATGCAGTAGGTGGCACAGTCATAGAACACGGGGTTATGGAGTGCCACCCCAAATAAGGTGGGGAAGCGCAAATTCAAAGAACTGTGGTGCTTTCACATGATACGATAGATACAAATAATCTGAGCACCGGATCCTAATTGGTATATATACATGTACATTGGGTTCTAAACTCTAGGTAATCCATCCAGTATTTATCCAGTACCAGCTACCTGTTCCTCCTCCCTAACCACCTACCAATGAAAGCAGAATCTCCAGCACATCTCACATTCTTTTCCTGATCTGTAAGATTATATTATTTGGTACGTATGCTCAGACTTTCACCGTGGCAATTGTTTGTATCTGTCCTAGATCTATCTATACTGGTGGTGAGCTAGCAGCCAAAAAAAGCACCAATTTATTCTAGGCCCTGCAGGGCCTACTGTACTAATTACAATGTATCTAATGGAAGCTGTAGTCTATCTATACACTATGTACTATATACAGTAGGCAGCAGGGGTGGGAGCAGCCCAGGGGAGGGCAGGAAACAGGAGGGGGCTGATTTGATGGCGAGGGGAATCAGTGTGGGTCCACAGGTCCTTGGGGATGCCCGAGGATTGATGGCAAGGCCAAGGTTGGCCTGAGGTGGTCCGAGGCATTTGCCATGACACGTTGTTGTTGTAAAATGGCCCTAAAAAGGCTCAACAATTCACTGCCATGGCAAACCCATTCTACAACAACAACGTTCATTTGCCATGACTATGTATCCTCACAATAATAAAAGCACTTTGTTGTGGCAAATGCCATTCAACGAACAGCCAGGGCCCAGTTGCACAGGCAGCGCATTGTCCATGACATTATGCAGATCCCGTGTGCTCTTGAACTGAATGTTTAACCTGTCAACAAGCTAGGATGAAGAGTATGAGTAAGTGATACAAGGAGAAGGATGTACTAGCACTTACACCCTCAATCTTCCATAAGTCGGTGAATGTATTCGAACCAATGCTGTGGGTCTTTGCCCAGGCAGCAATATTCCAGTTTAGCTTTGATTTGAACTGATGGTAGGTGTTACTGGGGTCTCCTGCGTCGGGGAGACTTACTTCATACTGACTGTATGAGTTACCCGATGGCTCGTCACCATTGATAGGCTTACCAGCGCGACACCAAAATGGTTTGACTCTTCTTCCGGGTGGCTCAGATGTGTCCTTGTCTTCCAAAGGTTGCGGGAGATCATCTTCTTCCTCTGGAGGTGGTGGTGTACCACCGGGAGACGGCGGACTGGATGGCTTGGGTAGAGGTGGCGGGAGGTTGTCTCCAGGTGGCAGTGATGGCAAGGGATGAGGGGAAGGTGATGGGAAAGGTGGTGGTGGTGGCCAGGGTATGTCCTCCCAGTCAGTGTCATCGTTGCTGCCTTCTCCCGGGTCAGCTTCATCATTGGAAATGGGCTCCTCCTCACTATCCTCTTCTTATTGCCCATCATCCGTGTCATCACTGTTGTCAGTCTCCCAACTGCCCATCCATTCCCAGCCATCCTCATCCTTGTCCTCTTCATTCTCCTCTTCTTCAAACTTAGCATCGGCTCGCCCACGCGCTGCTTGTCCAACTTTCCACGCCCGTGCCTGATCTACTAGCACCCAACCCAGGAGTGCATCTGCGTCCCTTTCAGTCACCAGGTCACCGTCCTCAATGTTGATCTTGGGTTGGTCAATATCCAAGTGTACCTCAGACTCCTCGGGTTCCAAGGGGTGGTTCACGTCTATGGATCCGAAATCTGCGGCATGTGGTGGGAGGGGGGGTGCTACGCTATCAAGCAGCATGGGCTCGGGCTCAATGGTGTCAGGCCACTAGTGGGCGGCTGGGTTTATCAAATCCGGTAACAACTATAAGGCCCAATTAGAAAATCACCATGCCATCACCGGGCATCAATCGCTGGTGTGCCAGTGTTTGATCACGCGTGAGCTTGAGCGCTGAGTGCTAAGTCCATACCCTTGTGGGCATGAAGTGCCGCATTGGGCCTAGAGTAAATGTGTCCCAAACCCTATAGTACCTTTGTCAGTAGATATAATTAAAGACGATCCCAATGCAACAGCTGTTATGTTTAAGTACGCATTCAAACACGATCCCGAGGCAACACATCTTAATTGAGTATTGTTGTGTTCAAACGCGATCCTGTTGGATCTCCCCTCGACTGAATATTGTTGCGTTTGAACGCGATCTCAATTGAACACCTACCCTAAGTGGTCTTGTGTTTGATCACTGGCTCAAAATAAGCCTTGAACAGGAGGAGTCGTAAGATATTAACTGCAAGATGATAATAGAGATAGACAAGTACATAAGCAAACCTGCCACCTTCTTCTATGCACAGCAACCCATGAATGAGTTAAAAGAATTGTGCAGCCACGTGAATGGCAGGCACACCATCTCTAATAGCAAACACGCACTGGTTCGGTCATTTTTGACCGCGTGCTCTGCATCGAGCTCTGTGCTGGCGGCGGGTGCGAGGTTGGTCATGGCGTGCGAGTAAGGAGTACATTCATCTTGAGCACCAAGACCGCGCGGATTATGCGGCGTGCATCTGGCGCGTGCCCTACAACCTGGTGCCATACTTGTTGAAGCCTCGTGGATGGGTGTAGTCCGGTCAATGAAGTTGTGTAGCACCTTGTTTTGGCCTGTGGCGCATGTCAGCAAAAGATAAAGTGAGTATTACTAATACTCATGAAGGCTTTGGGGAAGCGCGTGTCCAGGCACTGTGGCTCGAGGCTTGCAGGGTTTGGGTCCAGGTGGCTCGGCTTCAGATGCATCTTCTTCGGGTGATTCAGCATCCATATTCTAGCTGTGGCACTGCACTGTACGGGATCAGACATTGACATCACGAAGGTAGATAATATACGCACAAAGGATAGATGGGACTGAGGACAGTAGGGGCAAAAGATGCGAGAAAAAGCTGCCGGTGATGGTAGGAGGGGACTTGAGTGAGGGCACGCTGCCTTGTGAGACGAGTACAGTGCTTATCGTACACCGTGCGAACATTGGGCTGCATGGCGAAGTTGGTGTTGTACATTTCTATACTAATTTTGTTAGCTATCGTGCAAAATCCGACACCCACAATTGTTATAGTTGGGGTGGATCCGTGCAAATAACTTGGTGTGGGGCTGGTCAAAGTTGCGAGAATTATGTGCTTTGCTGGCGGACAGAGAATTACGAGGGCCCTGAATCCGTGCAAACTACCAGCAAGCTCCTGGGCGCGTATGTCCAGGAGCCGCAAGGCGGTCACGTGGGAGGTATAATGGGCATTGAAGAGGAATTGCGAGTTGTAGGAGGAGGGGTAGTGGTGGCAGAAGGAGTCATCACGCCAAGCACCGGAGTCCACATTGCGTGAACTCCCACACCTTTTCTCCCACCACCATCATTTCCACCACCATGTTCTCTACCACCGTCCCAGCCCTCCCATATGTGCCCTGAGTGGCACAGTATGCTGGCTAGAGAAGGCTACCCCCGCGCATGCGCGTGCAGGGACAAGCTCTCCCGTCGGTGGACTTTACGCCACTGACAACCCCCTTCAGTGCCGGCGAGTGCTCTGATCGCGCCGGCGAGTGCTCCGATCGCGCCAGTGAGCACCAGCACGCGCCCACGCCCACACCGCTTGTGTCCGTCCACCCGCACCCGCTCAATAAGGAGGGGGAAGCTTATCTGCTCCTGAACTTACACCGCCACCCTGGTGAGTTGCAACCGAAAGCCGAGGAGTCTCCCTAGCAGGTCCAACATGAAGGAGGTGTACAACTTCATCTTCAACTTTTTTGGCCCCCAGGTCTCTCCTCAGCAGTAGCAGCAGGTTTGTCACATATCTCTATGCTTTGCATCTATTCTAATACTGACTCTGCTATACCAGCCCTCGATTCAATCGAAACAGCGGTGTCTGCACCGGCCGCTCTACCGGAAGAACCTCTGACTGTCAAGGCGCAGCCTGTTGCCGTGGAGGAGTCTACTGAGCAGCCTGAGTCTATCAAACCCTCTGCCGCCGCCGCCGAGAGGCAACAAACGATAGAAGGGGGTGGTTTCTGTACCAAGCGACGCGTAGGAATTGATGAGCGCCCACAGTCGCGCAACAAGCCGGGCGTGCAAGCGAGACACGTCGCGCTCTCCAGTACCGCCACTACCACGGATCACCACCTCTCTCTCCCATCCAGCGCAACACAAAATTGATCCTAGGCATACGCGTTTAGGGTCAACTCTGTGCTCGCTCGATCTTGGACAACCATGGCCATGCAATCCCAGCTGAAACCACCACCACCACCACCCCTCCCACGTCCCGCCCACAAGTCCCAGGCGGGAAACGTGCCTGCTCCGACACCTGCCCCATTGCCGTTGGCTGGCAAGAAACGGCCGCTCCCGAAATTCAAAAAGAAAAAGCAAGAAAACCCACAATTGTGACTCGTGCCGCACCTGAGGATGTCAACATCGCCGTCGAGTGGCCTGGGGGTATGGTTCTGCTTGGCGTTGGCACGTCGTACCACCCTCCCGCCCCTGAAGAGGGCTATACGTATGCTGAGGGATTCGGTGGCAATGGTCTCTGGCGCTGGCACGAGTTTACACGGCACCCCGAGCTCCTTGACCACACCTCGCCCTTCATGGCCTGGGCTCATCTTCTGACACAGGACCAGAGGGACCACTTAATACTCTATCTTCACGCGTCTAGGCAAGACTGCATGCGGCTTCCAGACGAAGCTGCGGAGGGGAAGGAGAGGTTTGAAGGGAGGGAAAAGCTGGGGAAGAAGAAGGGCATGGGCACGGTGAACGGGATGTACAGGCTTACCGACGAGTTGTACAAGGACATGAAGACGTGACATACTACCCTCCACCAGCATTGCGATCTTGCAACGCGCCTCCTGAAGCGGGCATCGAAAGAGTGCATGAACGGTGTCAGCCCCCACAGCATCATCCGCGTCATCCTGGCAAATGTGCGTGAGCCCGTCCGCAAATACCTTGATGTCGTGCACACCTGCGAACGCCTCTGGTACGGCCACATCTCCGTATTCCAGGAGTTCGACATCTGTTTCTCAGTGTTTCAGTGCGCCCTCAACGTGATGCTCACCTACTTCGACTTCACCTGCTTGATCTTTCCCCCGTCTATTGCACCTGGTCTCGCCGAGCTCCCCAAGCTCACGTCGAGCAAACAACGCCGCAGAGTCGTGCTGGCCGGGAAAGATATCAAGACGTATATCTAGTTCTTCAAGGCCCATCATATTCCGGTCTGAGTGTATACCGCAATGAACACGATCTTCATCCCCGCTGGGAAGCCTGGCCTTCCCAATTCTCCTCACTGCGAAGTCTCTGCGTGCCCAATCCTGAGTAAGTTATGAAATTCTCTTACACCTAGACCTACACTAATCTTATACGCTCTAGACAACTTCAAGCAGAGGTCGCTGCCTCTGCGCTGGTACCCCCCGCCTCCTCATTGTCTCTGGGTGATGATCGAGCCCATCAGGTGCGGATATGTCCCGCAACCGGACAAAGACTCTTCTGAGCTGGGGCAGGAGGCGGCGAAGAAGAAGAAGCAGAAGTGGGACGGGGCATTAAAAAGTGCGTTCACTTACCATGCATCGATAGTCGTGCACTGACCCGCCTCCACATTCATAGGACAAGAAAAGATTTGTGAGGGTCAAGTGCAAAAGCTGAAGAACCTCAAGAATATCTTCAGGACCTCGGTTTCTGGCTCGAGTGGTATCAGACGATGGCCATGCGTTTGCCAGCCGCGTAACGGTACTTCGCTAACAAGATCAAGCCACGACCGGCTTGGATGCCCCGTATCAACAGCATGTACATGGTGGCGCTCGATGATGCCATGAAGCACCTCGACTTCCTCACACGTCCCCTCCCCCACCCCATCATCGACACCAGCCACCCGAACTTCTACAAGATTGCGCCCAAGATCCCGCGCGAGCAACTGGACACCTTGCTCGAGTTCCAGCAAAGCCAACTGGTGCTTAAGACGTGGGTGCCCCCGTTATTGGTGTTCACCAATCCGACCAAGTGGGAGAAGACCGTCTACTTGGTCTCCAACACCGTCACCCTTCTACCGGTCATGCTCGAGCGGCTGTACTGGACACGCCACGCCGACGACGTTCACCCACTCACTCCCATCAAGTGGTGCAACATCCTCACGATCACGCACTGGAAGGGCGTCTGGAACAATTACCATTGGAAGATGTACATCGAGGAGAAGCTGGCGGAGTTGAGAACCAAGGAGGACTGGGATGTGGCGAAGGAGGCGGAGACGCGCGTGCAGCTGAAGGACAAGAAGATCCCGCTCAAGCCATACATCCACAACGAGTACGACAAATATGGAAGCCTGAAGTTCTTCAGGCAGAGGCTTACTGACAAAGTGATCTCGTGCCTCGCTCCAGGACATGAACACTGGAACTTTCTACCAGGCGACCTGATGTGTGGCCATCCAGCGACAAAGGAGTGCCTCATAAAGGACCCGGAACTTGTCCACAACATCTTGCTATGGTTCGAGCTACTGTCCCATATGTTCTGGTTTGCCGACTTGAACTCGCAGGCGCTTGCAAGGGAGGGGTCCCTGCGTCAGCGGACGGCCGGCACCACACGCCCATCTTCTCAGATGAGAAAGATCAGCAGTGCCCAACCGCAAAACTCATCATGCAGGCTGTCATCCACCATCAAGTGGTCAATAAGACCAGATGGCCAGGCGGTGGGGAGGACGCCGGCAATACCTTCATGTTGCCAGAGGATCTCGGACACATCGCCTAACTCCTCATTGGCACTGACCACACCCATTTCCTTGACCAGTACATGGAGCACAATCTGGACTGGTATACGGTGCAGGACTTGAAGGAGCTCATGCCTGAGGGTGGCGAACCTTTCGGCTCGGTGTCTGACGCCGAGTTCAGTACTAGGAAAGAGCAACTGCTCCTGCGCTATATACTGACCTCGTTTGGCACTTGGCAGTGGCCCGTCGAGTTCACCACGCTCCCCCGGCACTCCTTCGACCAATACAAATGCATGGAGTGCCGCCCTGCTGCTAAAACCTGCGAACGGCCCAAAGGCAATGCTGACGCGGTGGCGGTGTTGCCTGTGTCATTGGGCACTGTGCCCCCGCCCCTCATCCGCATCTAGGTGATCCCGCGCCGATGGATACAGGGATGGACGTCTGGTTCCAATACGACCCCAACCCGTTCTGGGAGAGCTATGATGGCAACCTTTCCGATGAGCCTGTTAAGAACAAAGGGTTCTCGGACTAGGTGCACATGCGTGCCCGTTCCGTTGTGCTTGCTCTACAAGTCTTATTGCTGACCTTGTTCATGATGTACTTTTCTCTCTCTATCTTGCTGTATACTATTACTATATTGTCTGTAACTATATGTGATGTACCATATAAAAGGACTTCTCTGCACGAGCAACCCTTAGCGCGAGGGTTGCTCACTTCACGGTAGGCTAGACACCATAGTGTGCTTGTTCACAATATCACAAAGTACGTTTAATCGATCGACTTGCAATGGTGTGTATTACTAATACACTCACGCAGTTATCTGTACCGACTATGCAATTCGTCTTACAGAAATCGGGAGCATTCTATGCCAAGTTGTACCAAGGAAGATCTTCAGCAAGTCGAAGGTCTCCCGAATATCCTGTGCATTAATGTCGGTCCATGGCATGAATGGCTCAATTGCTAAATATAAGTGCGGGTCATCCCACCGCCGCTTTAGATGGCATGCCACATCTAAGGCACATGAAGAAGAGCCATGCACGGAGTTCAATATTGCATGCAAGTTGCAATAACGACTGCCTATAATGATCACATCAAACTGGGGTGAGCGTCCAGGCGCATAGCGGAGAGAGGTCTGTGTGTCCTGTCAAAGACACGTGTAGCGGGCGGGACCGGTCATGACAAGGCACACGTAGGACTACTCTGAAACCCGACTCTTGACGATCTGTCCCTGGTAGTACCGTCCCGCAACAGAGGCTCAGCGACTGGAGCAGCCGTAAGGTTGTGCAAGGTTGTCTTGCTTTGATGCGCGGATGTCTATGAAGTGCGGTCAAATACCATAGTAAGCCATATTTCTCATGTCGGCTTGCATCGCATCCATCTCAGACTTATGTGCTCTCTGATTTGATGACCCAGATCTTGACATTCAACGCTGTCCTCCCCTTTCCTTGGACCTCTACGGGCTTGAGAGTCTGCGGCACAGCTGTTTGTATTGCTCGTCAGAGACTGGCCCTGTGACGTCTCTTCCACCGGCACACCCCATCTCCGCCCAAGATCTATAGACTTGCGCAAGATCCCAATTCATATGGCCAAAGCTCGCGGAGACTTTGACTCAAAACTGCTTAAACTTGCGGTTCATCCGGTGTGAGTTGCCACTGACTTGGAGGCTATAGAACAAGGAGTTGCACTCAATGTCCCGTAATGTTCGTCAATTTCATATCTTGTCTTCTGCGCTGGAGCGCTCAACCGCCCAACAGCAGGCCATTCCCACTCATTGAAACAGATCGGACCAATGTGCGCGCCAGCCTCTCGTTCATGTCTAGGCTGCCGAGACTAATTTGATTTCTTACGTGGTCTTCCAGTCGTGGCGCCATCTACACCTCTGTTTCATCATCATCCGCAGGCGTGCGCGCTCTCTGCGAGGGCCAACGACAGACTCCCTTGGAGCGGGAACTTCTGACTCTTCGAGAGAAGTTGGGTCCGGTGTGAAGACAACCGGGTGTCCCCGCTACCACACCGCATGCTCATCCTGAAACGCATCCCGTTCTCATGGCTAGCTTCATGTTCTACGGTCAGCACTGTTCGACTACCTACAGATTGCGAGCTGTCAGCGCTCACCCACATCTACATAGCAGCACCTCCACATCGTGAGGGTATGACACTTGACGCATCTCTGTATCATTTGCTGAATCACATCGTAGTTTGTCATACAGCATCTTCAAATGACATACTTGGCAATGGCTCGACTATGCCCTCGCTAGTGATCTCGTCTCAAAATAAATCTTGTGGGTCAGTACCTCTTACTGCCCTTGCGTGACACACGGCATGCTCACAACTAGCCTTTCCCAGCTCACCGACAACAATAAAGTCCAACATTCAACATAGGAACATTTGCTCTCTCGGACTTTACGCATATGGCGTGCAGGTATGGTACGTGTCGTCAGGGGGAACCAACGATTGCAATGTGCAGGTCGAAGATTGAAGAAACGAGGTACTCCACTTTCTACGTCCTTTGTAAGTGCTGTCTAATACTTTCCTCAGAGCGAAGAAGCAAGCTGGCGTGGCTGACGAGTCCGATGATCTCGAGCACAGAATGCTCAAGGCTTAGCGCTTCGTAGAGCTCGCTGAAGCTAGCGTCAATCCTGCTGGCATACGTTCACAGAGCATTGATGGGTGAGCCTGGCAATGGCCGTGTATGTTCGAGTATCACTCACGATAGCCCCTTAGAACTAATGATTGGACTGTGGAGATTGCTCATGCGTGCTCAACGCTGAAGCGAGGAAGTGGCGGTGTTGTGTCCTTCCTTGAACCACCCATCTCTTACCATCGGCCAGCTGTAAATTAGTTCGTGACTAGGCTTCTTTCCCGACTCAATGTTCTCCTCATGCATTCCTGAGTTGCAAACCTTGCTGAGCCGGCTGTATCTTCTGCACCGTATGCACAATGTACTTGTATCGCACTCGTATCGTACTGAATGAAGGAAACTTATTTATGTCATTGACTCCTGTTGCATACACATCTATGAGTTTCAGTTCCATACCACTCTGAGTCCTTTCTTTTCGCTACGCTGGCATCATGAACTACCTCTAGTGTAGTTCCGTACTGACTAGAGACAGACTGCCGGTATTCTTGCAAAGATAAGGGCACGTTCTTGGTCATATTGGTTGCTATTAACGCAGAAACGGCTCATCATTCTTCGAACATTGAGGTAATGTCAATGGGAAGCACCTTCATACGTTCACACATCTCCGGCTCGTTTGAGCGCGCGTTGACAAGGTGCCAAACATTGCACATATCATGATGGGACCCAGCCCAGTGTCTACAGAGATTCAATATATATAGTGGGATGTGGATACACTGGCCACTCACTTAACCTAACAGGCTTTAGTGCAGTAGATGACCCGCTGACAATGACCACACCTTTGAGGGCTCACTTTGTCAGTGATCTTCATGCAGCACTCCATACAGCGCCTTTTAACTGCATGCCATATGACATGTGCTCTGCATAGTGCGAAGAGTTGTTCCGGGGACAGCTTCTCCACTGAAGTAGCAGAAATTGCCCCCCGTTTAACCAGCGCCGCAAGCCAGTCAGCCTGAATGCAACGACCCTGCAGGGGAGGGACCATGCGCTTTGCGGTCGTGAGAAGTACAATGGGTTTGACGTTTATGTCAAGCGGGACCTTAGAATTCAAGATCTCGTAGAGAAGGCCGAGCCAAGCGAGGAACTGCCTACGGCGGAAGGCGCGATAGAACTTGCGCTCGCTGAGACCACTATGCCTGCAGGACTGTCAGTGGCTTGCAACAAATGAGACATGACATACGTGCAGGCGATGAAGTGTGACAGACATGAGTTGTTGCGTTGTGAATTGGGAAATAGATGGATACATAGAACAAAAGCGCCTGGTGTCGTGCCACGAGAAGAGAATGTTAGCTACGCGATTCATTGCTTGCATATAGATAGCAAAGTCGTCTGGCTGCTCCAGCGGAGCGGAAGAATGTGATGAAGTTGACACGTGGCCATGGTGCATCTGGTGTATAGCTGATCCACAAGAGATATGGTGCGAAGCATAATAGGGGTATTCTAGACGGCAAGGTGAGCCATTGAAACAGGGAAAAAGTGGATGCAAGCTGCAATAAACCTCAGCATCAGGGGTTACTTCCAAAAAAAAGGGTCCAGAGAGCATCGCGAATGACTGAATGATGGTTGGCGTGGGGCAAATAATGGTCAATTGGCGGGAGCATGTCAATGTTGGGTTCAGCCGGTAGGTTCACACCCTGCATCTCGCACAACAGACTGAGAACAGATTCCCATGATTTGCCTACGTGCGCCTGGGACGATTTGAGAGTCAAGATAGCCAGAGGAATAAAGCTGGTGTCACTGCCGCTGTGGGGTAGCATGGCGGGCACTATGGATCGGGGCTGGGCAAAACGCGGAGACTATATAGTGCACCGGCGAGAATCCATCCCATGCTTTGGGGAGAACATCATAATCATTGCCTTGGACTCCGGAGGATGCTTGATGACTGGCAGTGCATTTGTCTACTTGGGCGCTGAGCGCTGTGCCGTTTCGACTGGATGGTACGTGCCATGAGATAGGGCGAGGCCCGGGGACGCCGTGCACCACTGCCTTACCTATTGTCACTCTGGACGTGAACATTTGTTCGACACAAAGCTGATACTGTTGGGCACATTTGCGTGGACACAATCTGGATCAATATATCTTAATAGGAACAACCTCGCAAGTGACTGCGTTCGGTTTTCTCAAGCAGGCATGCCGGGAATGCGGGCAGACAGTTGATGCTCTCAAACCATGCAGATACAATGACACATTGTTACATATTACACTCCTGTACGGTGAACTGGTAAGTACAAAGTGCAGGACTTCTCAACCTTGCACTAGAGAGATGACACGTGAAGACGTCTGAGATTAGTTGCTTTTGTAAGGGTTAAGGGCGAGGGTAATCAGTGTATCCTTGATATGTGTGTGAAGCCTTCTGGCAGCACAAGTGCCACCGGTGCCAAATGCCAGAGAGCACCAAAGGGGGTATCCTAGCTCAAGCAAGTAGAAGACGCCGAAGTGGCTAACACTCGGTAAGTTTCCATGATAAAGCAAACATTGATATAGCTTACCATATCTTGTTGAGATGGGTGCCAGAGCCGGCATTCTTGCGCGCATCCATCCAACAATCCTGACATCGCCTAGAATGACAATGAAAAGAGGGTTTCTTGATTTCCCCTAGTATGGAAGATGCACGCCGTGGAGCCAGGTAAGGGTTGAGAACTTCATTATGTGTAGACGTACTCACGCACTTTGAAAGAGACCTCTCTGCAATCCCTTCCTCAACGACGAGTTTACCACCTGAGTTGGGCATCAAGATCATTATCTCCGTCGCCAGCCACCACTTCTGCCTTCTCGCGGGACCGTACATCCTGCTTTGCTTCTTTTGCAAGCTCTTTGTCCTTAGTGAGCGCTTCAGAGTATGGCCCGCAGACTGCAACAATGCCGTCGCTGTAGAGTACAAGAGCGGGACCTGT